TCTCTCTCTCTCTCTCTCTCTCTCTCTCTCTCTCTCGAATTTCTCGCGCACGTCTTCACCCTCAAACACGAAGACCACCACCACCTCCACTGGCTATATCCAAGCCAAGCCCAGCTATGGGGGCTGGCTATGGCTCTGCCCTCAGCAGCGCCCTGCACCCTGCACGTCCGCGCGTCCACGCAGCACCAGCGCTAGCGCAGCAAGCAGCCCGCGGGCGATCGCTCCAGCAGCGCTGCCGCCCGCAATTGCAAGTGCCCTCATTTCTTGACTGGAGTCCAGCCCTTTCCTATATGGAAAGTGGCGGGCGTTTTCCACTTGCTTCCCAAGTGAGACCGAGTTTCCAGTAGCTTCAGTCTCAGCCAGAGTCTGCCCCCAGGCCTGTTCAGACGGTGGCCTGGGACCAAATTGGTTGGGATTGCCCAACCGCCGAGGCACAAACGTGCGGTGCTCCCTGCTTAGACCACATTGCTGGAAGAGCCTGGAAGACTCACAAATATTTGAATTCTCACGAGCAAGGTGGATTGTAACCAACTGGCGCGTGGCAACTGTCTGGCGCCTGCCAAGATTTGCAAAAATTGACGAACTCAGGGCACACTGGGATTCAGGGGGCCCGCCTTCACTTAGGGCGGGCACATGCCTGCTGCGAGGCCCTAGGCCCTAGCCCAAGGGTAAACCCTTGCACTCCCTCCTCCTTTACTTCGATAGTCCTCTGAGAAGTCGTTACACAGCAGGCTGCTTCCCTTTCAAACTTCGTTCATTACTTGAGTTAATTTGGGGAGCAGTCTTCATTAACTCTTCTCTTGTGAACCACCGATCTTCTTTAGGATCAGTATGATGTCGGAACCGCACTAGATACTGCATCTGCAGTTTCGGAGGGCGTCCCCTGCCTGGAGGCTTGGGCACAGGCATCAGCTTGTGCTCGACGATATATAGTCAATGTCCACATGTCAGTCCATGGTTGGGGGCAGCATTGATCTTCTTGAGGGAAACTGGTCAGTTTCAGCGAAGGGTGCCAACTTAGATGCATGGAAAACAGGGAGTGTACGGAGGTGTACAGGAATGTGTATAACATATGATTGACCATCGGGTCGATCTCCTACTATGTCCAGAATTTCCCCGGGTCCAAAGTACTGTGCCATCAGTTTGCGTGAGATTCCCAACTCCTGTCCCAACTCAGATGACTTTACCCAGACTCGTTCACCTACCTGAAATGCAAACCGTTCTCAGATGCAACCATGGCATCTTGAGCTTTCTTGATGTGCTCTACAGCCTGCTGCAGCATGTGTTCGTACTTGACAGCAAACTTTAGGTTACCAGGTGCTGTGGTTGGCTGGTTTTCAGCCAACAGGAAGTCAAGAGCAGATCTGGGCTTCCAACCAAGATGCAGCTGGTTGGGGGTCTTACCGGTAGTGCTGTGCACAGCATTGTTGTACAGGCTGGGGATGAGAGGTAACTTCTCATCCCAGTCATCTTGACTTGGCTTAACATAATGCCGAAGCAAGTGCTGCGCTACCCGGTTCATTTGCTCGGCCTGACCATTTGACTCAAGGTGGTTCCCTGATGTCATTTGCAGTCAGGTGCCCATCTGTTGGGCTGTTCTTTGACACAGTTCGCTAGTGAATCTGACATCCCTGTCGCTCACAATAGACTTAGGGAGACCGAAGTCTCGTACCCAGTTGTCCATGAATAGCTTGATGACGTGGTCAGTTCTAGCCGGTCCAGGCATAGCGATTAGTAGCATACTTAGTGAACCTGTCCACAATGACGTGACGTTTACCGCTTTTGCTGGTCACAAGAGTATCGATGAAATCCATGGAGACACTCTGCCGAGGACCAGTAGGTATAGGCAAGGGCTTAGTAACCCCAAGCAATACCTGAGTCTAAGGCTTGTCCCGTTGACAAACTTGACAAGTCTCTACATATTTCTTCGCATCATCCAACATTGTGGGCCACAAACATCGCTGCACTAAATTTGTTGTTGTCTTGTTATAACTGAAATGTCCGGTTGCATCGTGGCACTCACCTAAAAATAAACTGCGTAAAGACTCCCTATTCGGAACGCATAAGCGTTTATTCCCTGCCTTCTCAAGGAACAACAAGCCTTCAACCACCACAAACTCATCGGAAGTAGCTTTGTCTTTAGCTTCCAGTTTGCAGATGATCTCAGACATGATTGTGTCCTCTTGACAGACTCCCACCATAGATCAAGTTACGTCACAAAAATCCCAAACTCAATCACTAGCGCGCTCAGATAGCCTGCCCTACGCGATAGTGCATCAGCCACTTTGTTGTACTCTCCCTTCAGAGGGTCGAGCTTGAAGTCATACATATCTATGAGTTCAATCCACCTCGTAAGTGCATCGGAGAGCACTGGTTGTGTCTTAATCAAGTGCAATGTCTCATGGTCAGATCTCACATTAAAGAATCTGCCTAGGAGGCAGTGCCTCCAATGGACCACACTTTGTAGAGAGCATAAAGCTCACGCTCATAGGTGGACTTAGCTAATTTATGAGATGGCATTTTTTTGCTCATGTCCTCGATCGGGCTCGACTTTTTCCCCTCCTTCTGCGCAAGGGCCGTGCCTATGCCGTATTGGCTGGCGTCTGTGGTCACAACAAAGGGTTGTTCAAGATCTGGAAGTTTGAGGACTTTGTAGTGCGTCAGGGCATACTTCAATCTCTTGAAGGTTGCCTCATACTTTTCGGTCCACTCCCATGGGGTGTCAAGGCGCGTGAGGACAGTTAGAGGGGAGGCTACCGTGCTATGATTTTTCACAAATGGGCGGTAGTAGCCTGTCACCCCCAAGAACGACCTCCCCTCACTCACAGATTGAGGTCTGGGACGTATGCTAGCCACGTTGGCATCATCTGGCCTCAATCCATCCGCGGAAATCTCATAACCCAAACACAAGATCTCGGTGCGACCAAATTCACATTTCTCCAAGTTCACATTGTACTGGTGCTGTCTTAGGAGTTGTGGCACTGTTTTCACGAGCTCAGCGTGCTCCCCTACAGTCCTACTAAGGATAAGGATATCATTGAGGTACACGACGATAAACTTGTGAAAGTAGTCACGAAAGATCCGGTTCATTGCGTGTTGGAACGTCATAGGAGCATTGCATAGGCCAAAGGGCATCACCACAAACTTGTACAAACCGTGCCTGGTCTGAAAGGCGGTTTTGTGCTGGTCCTCGTGTCTAATAGCAATCTGATGGTATCGGGACTTCAAATTGATCTTAGTGAAGTATCGGCATCCCTGCACTTTATCCAAGAGGTCGTCAATGCGTGGTATGGGCTTCGCGTTCTTAAACCACTAGTACTTCCTAGAGTCGTGCCCGCTAACGCGCCACAATTTTAGGAAATGTACGGGCTACTGCAAAAGCGCCCAAATTCATTCGACTAGAAACGTTTCTACTCTATTTTTTCCCATGCCCGATAGCTGGGCAACGTACTGGTGGTTTAACGCTGATGGCATTGAGGCCCCTATAGTCAATGTACATCCTTAGTGTTGGAACGTCCTAGGAGCATTGCATAGGTCAAAGGGCATCACCACAAACTCGTACAGACAGTACCTGATCTGAAAGGCGGTTTTGTGTTGGTCCTAAAGTCTAATAACAATCTGATGGTATCCAAACTTCTGATCTATCTTAGTGAAGTGCCGACATCCCTACACTCTATCCAAGAGGTCGTCAATGCGTAGCAAGGGCTTCGCGTTCTTAACGGTGATGGCATTGAGGCCCCTATAGTCAATGCACATCCTTAGTGTCCCCCCTTTCTTTGGGACAAATAAAACTAGCGCTTCGTAGGGGAATGTACTTGGCCGAATCCAAAACTTCTTTGTGAGCTCCTTGAGCTGGCGGCAAAGTTCATCTAACTCTGTAGGAGACATCCTATAGATCGGCCCTCTAGGTACTTTGCT